GGCCACGCCGCACGGCTCGGCCCTGTGGAGGGGGCGGGGCAGCGATGTGCTGTGCGGGCGGGGGATGCCGGGCCAGCCGTTGGACGCCTGGTCCGGTCTGGGTGGATGATGAAAGGCCTTCCTCCCCAACGGCCCCCATGCGCCCACCTGCAGCAGCGCCCCCACCACCAGCAGGGGGAACCCCGCCCTGTAGAGCGCCAGCAGCTCAAGGCACGCCCCCACCAGCCCGCCCGCCGCCGCCGCGAGCACGACGGGCCGCCGGCCGAGGCGACGCATTGCTATGGCGCCCGGGAGCGTGAAGGCGGCCGCGGCGATGACAAAGAGGGCCACGGGGATGGTGGAGACCGCGGCGCCGCCGCCGCGGATGGTGGCGGCCGCGAGGGACGTGTTGGAGATCTGTCCTCGCGGCCAGATCGAGGGCAGAGGGTGGGGGTTGGGCGGTGGGTGGCGGTGGTGCATCTCTAAGAGTGTTGTTGGGCGGGGGTCGCCGGAGGTGTCGTGCGGCGCGGAGGGACGGCGGCGAAATCAGCGTGGGCAGCAAAATCAGGGTGGGCGGCGCCGGCGCCGGCCTCAACGGCTGCGGGTGTGCGTCCTGGGGAACCCCCTGCTGCATTTCGCAAGCTGAGGGGGGTTGCCCGCTGCCCCATGCCACGCGTCCCCGCGCCCGCTGCATTTGCTGGGGCGGGACGCGCGGAGATCTGTCGCCGGCGCGGCGCCGCCGCTCGCACTCCCGTCCATCCCTTTCTCATCCCAGCACGTGCCTGTATGAAGAGCGCGGAGACGGTGCAGCACCAGCCGACGCCGAGCAGCAGCACATTGCAGAGCCGCCGCCGCAGCGGCAGCTCGAGAGGCTGCGGCGGCGCTGCGACTGCACAATCAGGCGCCTCCGGGTCTACCGCTCCCATGGCGTCGAGGCGCCAGAGGATGCCGGTTTGGGGGCTGCTGTTTGGAGGCCGGCGGGCTTCGGCACGCGGGCTGACAGGCGGGGCTTGAACAGGGGGGGGGTGGTCGGTCTGAGCAGCACGTGCAGCGCAGCGCCGCTTGGGACGCGAGCAGGCGAGTAGTGGAGACGGTTGCAATGAACCCAGCAGATGTGAGGCTCAATGTAAGCTACCGCATACAACGCCAGCTGGAACTGAGGTATGCACGGATGATGAACGGGGCACCGGGGTGTGCCGTTGTGGCATCGATACGTTTTTTGAGCCTTGCCGCGGCGAGGGGAACACCTGGACCTCCTATGCACCCTCCTTGCGCTCTCCACACCTCTGATCGCTGATCACGACGGAGAGCTTTCGGTTGCACCATGTCCCGCCGCTTCAGCTTCTTTGGCGACTCAGCGCGCGACCCTGCCCCCCTCCTGGCTGACCCCCTTCAGCAAGAGCACCCCGTCAAATACGTGTCGGCCCCCACATATGTTACGAAACCGGGCGGGCGCCGCAGCCGCAGCCCTTGAGCAAGCCCAGGTACGCAGCCACAGACAGGGGCATCCCAGATCAGTCATCAATCCCCTCTCCCCCCGCCCCCGCCGCCGCACCACCGCCGCCGCCGCAACCGCTGCCGCCACCCCCGCCCCCGGCGAGCGCCGCCAAAAACCGCTCCGGCGGCGGCAGCGGCCCCTTGGGCGCCCCCCGCGCCGCGCGGGCGACGTCCCCTAGCTGCCCGCAGGCCGCGAGCTCGTCATCGCCCCGGCTGTCCCTAATCGTACACACGCGGCCGCCCCTGATGACGACAGACCTGAAGGCGAGCACCTGCTCGATCGGGCTGCGGCGGAACTGGGTGCCGTCGTGGGGGTTGAATTGGATGAGGTTGATCTTGGCCTCGATCGGCTCCAGAATATCTACCAATCTGTTGATGCAACGAGGGGGGCCGGAATACGATTGTGTGTGTTGGTGTGACAGTGTGCGTGCGTGCGTGTGTGTGTGTGTGTGTGTTGGGGGATTGGAGGAGGTAGCAGGTAGGCAAAAGGCGGCAAAACGGTGCTTGCTTGGAGTCGAGAGCAGGAGGTGGCGCCATACGCAAGGTCAACGGGCGAAAAAATCAGCACACCTAAGAACGACACCTTGGACACACGGGGCGATGCCTGCACATGCACCTCATGGCTTCGACACAGGCGCATGCAAATCCTGTGGCCTTTGAACACATGAACACACACACACACACACACACACACATGCACAAACCACCCACGAGCAAGACGCACGCACAAACCACCCACCCGCAATATGCACGCACACACAGACCTACTCGCATGAAGATGCACTCACACAAACTACCATTCAAACAGCCCTGCCCCGCCCCACCTCTGCGCGTCCTCCAGAGTGTCGTTCACGCCCGCCAGCATCACGTATTCTATCAGCACTCGCCGCTTGAGGGGCCCGCCGCGCGGGTAGTGGCGCGCGAGGGCCGCCAGCAGCGAGGTCAGGTCGTGGCGCCGGTTGACCGGCACGATCCAGTCGCGGACCTGGAGGGTGGGGGGGCGGCCGGCTGGAGTGTTACTGGGATGGAGGGCGGCCTAAACAGAGGGCGGCTTGGATGGGGGCTAGAGCGCTGCCAACCCCACGGAGGGGCTTGGGAAGTTTGGAAGCTTTGGAAGCAAGCTGGAAGGTTGAGAGCGGCGGTGCTAGCGCGGGCATGCAGGGCGAGCGCAGGGGCGAAAGCTCAGCGGTGACAAACAAGCCCGCACCCCTTCCCCCGAGGCCGCCGGCAACGCCCAGCCAACCACCCACCCAGCCCAGCGCTCCACCGCCCCACCCACCTCGTCTGTGGTGGCGTGCAGGCTGACTGCCAGCTGTGCGGCGCCGCAGCGCTCCACAAACTCCTCAAGCTTGTCCACCAGGCCGACTGTGGATACAGTCACCTGGGGCCCGAGATATTGTGGGGAGGAGTTCGAGATATTTGCAAACACGCAGGGCCGGGGGAAGTCGGGGTGGTGGCGGGCTCGGGAAGGGCTGGGCTGAAAGGGGGATGAGGATGAGGGGGAGGCTGTGTTTTCATCGCGGCTGGAGAAAGGGGTTGGGGGTTGGGGGTTGGACGGGCCCGGCACTGTGGCGCGCGCTGCGGGTCGGCCGCGGAGACTGTGCGCGCGGGGGCGGTGCCCAGGGGCGCGGGATGGGCTCCTGGGCATGCGAGCCCCTTGCCTTTTCCTCCTCCACTCCAGCTTGCGCCCTGTCCTCTTTCACCCTCCCTACCTCCCCATATCCCCATCCCCCTCCAAACACACACATGCACATACGCACACACGCGCACACACACACACACACACACACACACACACTCACAAAAACGCATGCACATGCATGCACACATATATATTTTTGTACGCAGAAACACACGTACAATGTACGCATACGCACGAACACACGTGCACACACACGCACACACACACCCAGTCTCACACCTTGTTGTGCGACATGTGGAGCCCCAACGGATGATTCATCGCCTCCGTTGCCGCCGCCACTGCGTCCAGATTGTGCAGCGGCTCCCCCATGCCCATGAAAACAATGTTGGTGATCGGCACAGGGTCCCCCTCGCGCGCCTGCGATCACCATAGCGGCGGCGCCAGACCGGGGCAGGGCGGGGCGGGCGCGTGGGGGGCATGTGAGTGCCTCGGGGCCAAGGGGGCAGGGGCGACTCACTCCTGGCGCGCGGCGAGGCGCCGGCCCTGAAGGAGCAGCCCCGCTGTGCGAGGCCGCGTGCTGCGTTCCACTGCGCTGCAGCGTCTTGCGGCCCGCTTGGACCACCCTTCAGATCACGCCGTCCCTCCCCCTCTGCACTCCACCAGACCCCACCGCAGATCCCTGCGCCACACCCCTGAACCCAACAGCTCGACCCACGAATCAGGTCACATCACATCAGACAAGAGAAGCACAGAGAAAATGTCATTCCAGATCACCCCATCATCACCATTTTAGTCGCACCTGCAGCCGCCGCGCCTCCACCAGCTGTTCCACTATTTGAGCCGCGCTGAGGTTGGCGGCCAGCCCCAGCTTGCCGGTCAGGCAGAACTGGCACGCCATGGCGCACCCCACCTGCGCGGATGGGGCGTCATGGCGCGCGCATGCGTTGACTGTGCGTTGACCGTGCGTTGACCGTGCGTTGACCGCAGGGCGCGTGCGGTGGTTGCGTGGGTTGGTGCGTGGGCAGCGGCCGGGACGAAGAGGGCAGGGGTGTTGCGTGTTGAAACAGGATAAACGAATGGGATCGCCGCCCCGCACCGCACCCTCCTCTTTGATCTGCCAGCGCCGCTTGCCCTGAGCCAGCCCGCAGGCTGACGGAAACAAACGCAATGTAGCACAGAAACCAGGCGCCGGCCCCGGGCCCGTAGACCGGCTGCACACACAAGCTGCCAGAGCGTTGACACCTGTAGCTGCCTGCCCTCGTGCTACTCCCCGCACGCGCCAAAGCACGCGAAGCAGTTCGCCGCCGCGTGGGGCCCCACCTGTGAAGACACGCAGAGTGTGATGCGCGGCTTGCTGCCGGCCTCTCGCATCACGGGGATCAGCACCGCCTCCACAGAGCCGCCTGGGTGGGTATAGGATGAGTGGGCCGCACCAAGGCATGTGAATCAGACAAGCGGGCGCGAGGCGGCCCCAAGACGGCGCCGCTGCAGACCGCGCGCCGCCCTCGCGACAGCAAGTTGGGAGCGCGCTCTCGCCAGCGTCCGGCGGAGCCCCTTTCTCTTTGACCTCGGCTATCCGGCAGCCCATTGTGTTGAACACAGCCGCTGCCCTCCCACCACCAAAGCATTCACCTCCCTAACGCCGCCGCCCTTGACCCTCCTGCACCCCTCCCGACCGCCCACCTCTTCCAAGTTCCCACCCTTTACTTCCCTAGCACTCGGGTTCAGCCTTGTTCAATGAATTCCAACCCCAAACCCTTTCCCTAGCACCCACCCTTCCCCTCGCCCTCCGTCAACTCGAACACCAGCTTCCGCGTCCCGTCCTTTGCGCGCGCAACGCTCGTCAGCCGCACGCCGCCGTCCAGCGTCGCCAGCTGGCGGAACTTCTCGCAGAACTTCTCGCTGAAGCCGTTCTGGACGCCCGAGGTGTCCTCGGGGGCGCCTATCCAGTTGCCGTCGGCGTACATCCAACGCCACAGCTGCGTCGCGCGCCGGCGGTCCTCGCCTGCCGTTGGAATTCGGGCGCGCGGGCGTGCGTAACACTTGTGCTCTGGGGTGGGTGTCTGCCCGGCAGGCCGGGATTTGCGGACCCGCGACTGCCACCACCATCTCGGGTGTGCAGGGGTGGACGAAACCGATTGAGCAATCACAAACCCTGCCGTCTCCGCCGCCTCCAAGTGGTTTGGAAAGCGCGCGCCTGGGTCTGCTGTGCAAGCAGCGCTGGGCGGAAGAAGCCGAGCAGCTGCCGAATCCGGCCTCACCTATGCTCTCACACCACTCCTGCAGCTCAGGCAGGGTCAGGCTTTTGAGCATGAGGCGCCCGCGGCCGTCATACAACCCAGGGCGCCCCGCGAAGCTGAGCGGCAGCTGCGGGGGCGGCGGCAGGGGAGGCGATGCCGCCCCCTGCTGCTGCCCGCAGGCCTCGACGCCTGCTGCTGCCGCCTCGCCCGCAGTCGGTGCGGCGACGCTGGTGATGATACGACGGCGGAGCACAGTTGGCGGGGCGGCGGCGCGCCGCGTCCGCCGCGCGCCTCGGGCTTCCGCCGCTGCTGCCGGCGGCGGCCCATGTGGCGAAGCAGCACCAGCGCGGCGCGGCGCCGCTTCGCGCCGGAGTGCGGCGCATGGGGTCCCGCCACCTAAAAGCTGCATTCTGTATTGGTCTTGTCCCTCGACACCCTTTCACGCACAAGTAGGACTGGCGCAGCAGCCTGGGTGACTCGGGCAAGTGCGCAGGCAAATAGAAGCAGGTGTTCAAGCACACTAGGATATACTAGCACAGATGCATTCGTATTCAACATCAATGAGCGTCTTGCATTGGCCGCTGTGATCTCTCCTGCTACTGAAATGATACTGCTGGCCGTGCGGCCACCTAAGTTGCTGCCGCCGGTCCTGAGGATAAGTGGCATTATCAAGGCATCTTTACATACAAGCACGTCCCTCGGTGCGGCCCTCGACATCCTGAGGTTTTTTGGGCGGCGCCGCAGGTGCGGATGGACGCCTGCTGATGTGCTCTGGCTGCAACCCGTGCGGACACAGAACCGCGCAAACCAGCGGCCGCCGCCTTTCGGTCGCATCTGTTGACGATCCTGGCGTCCCTACATCTCACACGCCCTCTCGCTGCGCCTGGGGGGGGGACAAAGGTACCCTGAAGAGCCATTGCAGCCAGGCCTGGTGTCGCCAGAGCGCCCGGTGCCCCCCCACATTCCACGGCCCGACTACGCGTCACCGCGGCCTGCCTGGGAGAGCGCACATTTAAGGCCGGGGTTGCCTGCAATATCAAAGCAGCCGGAAATACACGATGCAGAGGTGGGTGCTGTACGTGCTTTGCGGTTTGTGTGCGGCTTGCATGAGGGGGTTGAGGGTAACGGCAGGTCCGCCCCGCAGTGCTTGTTTGCAACCCAACAATGGGAAGGCAGGAAGTGAATGTGTGCGCAGGCCCTGGTTGCTGTCGCACCAAGACGTGTACTTTTGATGCACTAGATATGAGCCGCGGGAAACTCCATAGTCTGTCTGGCCTGGGTTTGCGGGCGCAAAAAGCGGCGACCGGGCGCATGCGCGAACTGCGCAGGTCGGAGCCCCAGACCCCCCGTCTCCCCCCTGCACGCACCCCCGCTGACCGGCTGCGCGCTCCCATCCCCAACC